GGTAAGGGACTACGCCTATTGGCGCAGGCGGCCAGCACTTTTGCCCGTGAATGAGATGTTTTGCATTCGCAGACGCTGAGAGAAACATGTCGCGAGCGAGCGCGGTTAAATTGGATCACGCGCCGCCGATGCCGACGAATAAAGGCGTTCGTTCGACAAGGAGAGACCGAGAACGAGTGGAATTGAATAGAATACGGTTTGTCGCCGCGACACACCGTTCTGGTACGGTATAAGCCATCGTCTCGTCGAAGGCTATAAGACGAAGGTAGACTAAACTTGAAAATAAACGTATCGGTAGAATAAAAAATAAATTGAATTATCATAGTAGAAAAGAATAAAAGTGTGTGTGTGTGTGTGTGTGCAAGAAATACATCTATTCTTGTATATATTCTTCATTCACAGGAGTTAATCGATTCTCGTTGATTAATCGAGAAAGCAAGAGAAAATATTTGTTAGACTGCGCGATAAGTATTTTAAGCGAAAGTACCAAGTGTAGCACGCGAGTGGTGATATAATAGATAATAAAGAGCGGAGAGAGAGCGCTGTTAAAGCCGTCAAGTAAAAATTGGCGATAAGTACAAAGTACAGATCAGCAATATCATCGTTCGTGGAAGGAACGCGATAATGCCGTGCAGCAACATTGTGTCAAGTGTTTGTATCGACCGTAGCCTTTTTTTTTTTTTGTATTTATAACTCAGTGGAGGGAGAGATTCCCTCCGCGAAACGTTATTTGCGAAAATAAAAAAGATTGGTCAAAGCTTTGCCGCTCAGGTAACGAAATCATTTGCCAATATACATTTCGTTCCATCGGTTCTTTCTTTAATTAAGGGCCTAGTGAGTGAAAAGGAAATATGTTTCTCAGTACGATGGGTGAATAGCACTAAAGCGTGAGAGACTGAATGCTAAGGGTAGGCGAGTCTCTGAGTCTACAGAGTCTCTCCGTTGCGTGGAAAAAGCCGTTTGTATGCTAGAAAAGATTTTTCGGGAGGGGTACGAGATTCTCGACAGGGCAACAGTCGACCTTAAACACATTTCGACTTTGTTGCGAGTCGATCCGCCTCGAGAGCAGACAATAGTTAGTCTCCGAGGGTGATCTTCCTGTCGGATCGTGGAATGCGCACGCACCGCACGGTGGTGCGCATTCCGATCGTATGGGGGAAAAGTCAAGAGGTGCGGCAATAACGTTTCTAGTACAAGTGTGTATCGTTATTGCCGTGAAGCGTGCATAAATAGCGCTAGACTAAATATCAGCATGTATTTAATTAATGGAACTGTGAAATAGTGCGACATGCGATGCCCGCTCGAACCGTAACAAAATAATACCATAAAACTAACAAACTGGGATACATCAATCGATCTTCTAATCTAAATGTGTGTGTGTGTGTGTGTGTGGGTGTGTGTGTGTGTGTGATCAACACGCCCTCCTTATCTTCACTGTTATATATTGTACTACGATACAAGGAGAAGAAATCGACACTGGAGCAGTATGTAATAAGAAATAAATACAGAGTAACATAACGACGTTGTCAAAAGCTAGTGGCGATAACGTGCGGTTCCGTTAGTTATGCGAGTATACCCTCAACTGTTTTTCAATTCGCATGCAACTCCCGAGGTGAAGGCTGGAGAGTTTCCCCGCGTTCCTTGCATCACGGCCAGGACAAAGTTTCGAGAATTATGCGCTGGCAACACACCGGGGGCCGGGTGGTTTAATCCTTAGGTGCCACGGGCACGCGTAGATCGTAATTTCGCCCATGTTGGTATTTGCGTTGCGATACATTAGCAGGAGCTATTATCCACCGTGACGCATTTCACGTAAGGTCTTATTTAGATTTCTCCTCGTCGAGACGAGGAATAATATTTAATTGCCGAATACGTTTCGTCAGTTTAACACACCACATCCAGTGGAGAAATCCTTTCTTAATTTCCTTTTTTTTTCCTCCTCTCTATTTTGTTATCTTTTTCCTCCTTTTTATTTGCGCCGCGAGACCGTCGAAGATAACGCATTTCGGGACGAAGATCGAGCTCCCGACGACGCGCGACGCTGCTTCGGTGATCTTTAAAGTGTTTGCTTTCACATGGTACATATCGTATAAACAACCGGTCGCGGACCAAACATGTTTTTCGATGTCGGGAGACATCGTCCGTGGACGCGCTTATACTGCGACATCCTCTCCTCGTATGCGGGCGTGACGGAATCTCGCTCGGTCATCCGCAGTTCACGTGTCACGATCGCCAACAACGACCTTACGGCCTTCATTAGTTTCCATAATCGCTCTCTCTCTCTCTCTCTCTCTCTTCCTCCTCCTCCTCCTTCCTTTTTTTTATTTTTATGTTTCGGCTGTAAGAGGATGTCGCCCAACTGATACTCGGTCGCGATACTCTGCTATCGGAATCGTCGAACGCACCGAAAACAAGGACTGTATACGAAAAGAACGATTTTGCTGGAGTATCTAATAAAAATTTTGCTAGATACAGATTTGAGAATAAATCTGTTGAATAATAAAAATACGAAGGACGCTCGAACTGCTCGCTAGAAATGTCAAAACTTCCTGCGGCATTGATCGTCATGCTTGAGATATGTAATTATTTTGACGTTTCGGAAAACTATTTTCAATTATTTTCAAATCTGCATCTAAATTGCTAGATACTTCATTAAAATCGGTTTTCCATGTATCTAAAAATTTAGCTAAATATATAAACTGAAAATAATTTTGTTCAGCCAGCAAAATAATTATGTGGAACACTTAAACGTTAATGACAATGCTGCAAAAAGTTACATTCTAGCAAGTTCCAGTTTAAGTGTCCTCTACATAATTGTTTTGAAGATCTGAACAAAATTATTTTTTAATTTATCTAGCTAAATTTTTTAATACTTGAACAAAACTGATCTTTCCTGCGTGGATGAGTTCGATGGCGAAGCTAGCAGCCGCGATCGATTATCGGTATCGGCAACTTAACTCGAATGCGTCCTGACAAATCTTTCTTTTTTCCCCTCCCGCCCCTTCCGATTTTTCAACAACGAATAATGTTTTGCCAGTCCGCGAATATTATCGCTCGTTCGTTCCTCGTTATTTGTTACAATACCGCGGTATACGTCCAGCTTACGTCACACGTTGTTTACGAGCGCTGCATCGGTTGGAGACCTAATTGACGGGCTTCTAAGTAATTTCACGGAATAACATAAATAACCGGGCGATAACGAACGAGACGAGATACCCGGTGACGATATCCGGCGAATTCGTTTAAAATTAACTGCGCGCAACGCGCGACCGTAAACAACCATCGAGCCGACGTCGAGATTACGCGCTTACGGTTTTTCAAACCGACGGCGACGACGACAACGGCGGTGGCGGGCGAATTTATTTAAATTTCAGCGAGTGTAAATTATTCATGCTGCGGGGCAGAATAATAACCTCTTCTTCTCTCTTCTCTCTCTCTCTCTCTCTTTCTCTCTTCGTCCCCCGTTATTTATTTCACCGCCCGTTCCCTCTTGTCCCGAAATGGACAAGTTTCGCTCTTCCTCGGATCTCGCATACTTCACGAGCCTCGCCATAATCCGTCGCGTAAACACCGCAGTGACGGTCTACATATTTATTTATCGATCGATCTACATATATATGTATATACGGGTGTATCCCCGTTCCGATTGTCGTGATAATTGACATTGTTCGCCAGCGTTGCGAAAGTGGACTTGGCGACGAAGCTGCCTCGAGAATCAGCGCGATAACTCGCTCTCGGCTGAGCGTTGTATATGTATCTACTTCCGATCGCATGTAAGATACCTCGAGTCTTCCCGCCAATCTTTCAGAAAGCAAAAAGCAAAAAGCAAACATCCAGAGTTCAATTGTGCATCACCTCACTCGGTAAAAAAAATCACACAAGTGTTAAGTACTATTATTAGGCGGAGCGAATTCATTAAGAGATTCACTCGATCAATGAAATCGTAAGATTTGTTTGCGCTGCTTGAAATCCCAGAAATTCTATGCTTAAAACGAGATAAATAAACACATAAATACGCTTGAGCGTTGCAAGGTGCAAGTGACATGTGAATGTTTCAGGAAATTCGTTCATTTTTGTAATCTCCATCAAGTTGTGACAATTACAAGAATGGAAATTGCAAAAGTACGCAACTTCACAAAATGTTTATCAATAAAATTATAAACGATTATTTAGTAGATTTGTGATTTTGCGATTTTCATAAAGTCGTACGATAATGCAAAAGCGAGCAAATTCTCTGGGTGTTTACCAATGAAACGATAAGTAATCTAATAAAAATTCGCAAATTTTTATGATTTTCATCAAGTCATGCAATAACACAAAAGCGAGCGAATTCTCTGGGTGTTTGCCAATGATGCGACGAATACCGTAGTAAAAATTCGCTCATTTTTCTGTTTTTCACCAAGTCGCGTGATACACAATCAAACGCTAGATCGTCTAGCACTTAGCTGAAACGTCGGCGTTACAAACAGCCTCGTCATCCTCGTCGCATGCCAACTTATCACGCGCGTTTCTCTCGCGCTATCTACACGGTCGAGCCAAGCCGGAGAGTGTCTCTTCCCTCCCGACAGATATCTACTCGCTCCAGGGGAAACGAGATGAAAATTCCAAAAGTGAGCAAACCCACCAAGTGTTGACCAATAACGTTAAAAACATTCTAGTGAATTTGCTCGCTTATCAATTTTTACCTCATTTTCAAGCTACACTATATCGATCCCCGGAGCGTCACAAGAAGCGAAGCGAATATCTATCGAAGGAGCACCCTGATTCTTCCATACGCGGTTCACCACACACACACCGTACTTCTGCTCAAGACACACTCGATTTCGCACTACCGCGCGCGATTCAGAGACTACACCCTGCCACTGCACGGCCGGGGATACGCGCGCGAAAATCTATCGCGCAGTCCCTTCGATCCGTAAGAGAGAAAGGAAGAAAAAAATCGAAGAGGGCGACTTGCGATATGCAAGATTCGCCCTCAAAGAGGAAGACGGATCTCTTACCTTGAATAATTTCTTAAGCCTCCGGTAGCCGCGAAGTAATCGCGACACGTACTGCTTGTTGGAATCCAGTTTGATTGATTGAAGCCACAGTTGCGGGAACGAAGTTGAAGGACCGAAACCGAAATGACGGGGGGGGGGGGGGG